TAATCTCAAATACCTCCAGTGCTGCGTTACCTGTGCACAGTGCGGTGAGATAAGGAAGAAGTTTGGACTCTGTTCTTTACTGGTTTAAACACAAATGGTTAATGCTTCCTTTCAAGTAGCTTGGATTCTTTTTAATGGTTTACTAAATAACAAATTTAATAGGAAATGATTAAGTAAAACGAAGGAGTCTTGATAAGGGACTTATTCTCCAAGGCTTCTCATTGGTGTGGTTTTGTTATTTTTTTAAACAAATAATGCATGCTTTATGCTGAGGGATTTACACACATCTTCAGCCTTAGTCAGGGCTGGTGCAGAATTTCCTGTTTTTGTGCTGTCAGAACTGCTAAACTGCTCAAACGGCCAGTAAAGACCTAGGGTGTTTATCCAGAAGAGGTGGAGTCTGTAGCCATTCCAGGCTCTTCACTGATATTCTCAAGTGCACATACGGAAGTTAGAGCAGTTCCACATGTAACCCCCCAAATGGGGCCAAATCCCTCTGCAGATGCTAGTAGCACTTTCTGCTGATCGCTTCACAAAGGATGTACTGTTTTTGTTGTATTAAACAATGGATTTTGTTGCGTAAATCAGCTGAAATGAATCTTGTGAACTCCTATAGGCACAACAGACAGCGGCTTAGCCATAAAAACCGGTGTTCTTACCCACACTGCAATTTGAAATTCAAATGCACACGCTGGCTGGTGCTTTGTTACCCACTTGCAGAGCTAGATTGGGATCTCAGATTTGAATCTGGCTCCTAATCTCTTAAAGCAAAGAAGCCATTGTACACAATGGGTAAGATTCTGCTCTGATAGGATTCGGATCTGACTCACATAAGGATGTTTTTGATTAAGTGCAATGTAAGGCTATGTTTACACTAGCACTTTTGTTGGTAAAACTTTTGTCAGGCTATGTCTACACTACAGCCAGGATTACGCTCTGAGATCGATCCACCGGCAGTCGATTTAGCAGGTCTAGTGAAGACCTGCCAAATCGACAGCAGATCGCACTCCAGTCGACCCCTGTACTCTACCCCTACGAGTAAGGTAAGTCAACGGGAGAGTTTCTCCCATCGACTCGCCCCCCCCCCCCCGCAGTGTAGACCCCGCAGTAACTCAACCTAAGGTACGTCGACTCCAGCTACATTGTTCACGTACCTGGAGTTGCGTAGCGCAGGTCGACTTACCGCGGTAGTGTAGACATACAGGGCTGACAAACATAAGTTTCACTGACAGAAGCGCCAGTGTGAACAGTGCTATAGCTACCGCTGCTCGTTGGGGGTGGTTTAATTATGCCGACGGGAGAGCTCTCTCCTGTTGGCAGAGTGGCTACATGGGAGATCCTACAGCTGCAGAGGTACAGCTGTAAGGTCTGTAGTGTAGACATAGTCTTAAGTGAGACCAGAACCAGGCCCTATGTGGTCACTAAGGGCTTGTCTACACTGGCACTTTACAGCGCTGCAACTTTCTTGCTCAGGGGCCTGAAAACGCCCCCCCCTGAGCCCTGCAAGTTTCAGCGCTGTAAAGCGCCAGTATAGACAGTGCTCCCAGCGCTGATAGCTACGCTCCTTGTGGAGGTGGTTTTTTTATAGTGCTGGGAGAGCTCTCTTCCAGTGCTGGTGCTGCGACTACACAGCCATGTTCAAGCGCTTCTGCGGCAGCGCTTTAATGTTGCTAGTGAAGACATGCCCTAATATGAAAATGTTAAATATACAGTAAGGTGTAAATCTTCAGCAGAGCCACCACCTGTATAGGCACACACCATGAGCAATTCTACGTTTGCATACAGTTCAGTTTGGTTGTTTATTAAAGCTTTTTTTCCTATCAGATAAGAATGTTATAGGAATAATATCTATGCCACAATGCTTCCATAATTAATCTACTTTATTCAATCTACTGAATAGTTTTTATTTCTTTTTGATTTCACTTCAGTAGCATCCTGGACAACATGCATTTTTTTAAAATATAAGCATCAACAGAACTTTATCTGGATCTCTAGTCACAAATAAGTCTTCCTCTTCTTGACCCACATGTAGGGAAAGCCAGAGAAAAAAATGTAATGCCAGTAGCATTAATAACTCAATCAGAGAAGGAACTTGCAGGAACGGCACTGAACTAGAACCCATTTAAACCAAGTTCAGTTCCCAGCTGCAGACTCCCTGAGGGACCCTAGGCAAGTCACTTAGGGTCAGATTTTCAAAAGCCCTCAGTCTGAATTTTGTTGTGCCTCAGTTTCCCATCCATAAAAGAGAGATAATGACACTTCCTTTTCCCCACCCTTTGCCTGTTTAAATTGTATGGCCCAGATCTACAAAAGTATTTTAATGGAAGTTAAGAGCCATTTGTGGATCTGGGCTTGAGCTCTTTGGCAAGGAACTCTTCTGTGTCTGTACAGTGCTTAGCACAATTGTTGATTTGTATTCCTGTAGCACTTACGAGCTCCAGTCATGGACCAGGACCCCCATTGGGCTAGGTGCTGTACAAACACAGAGCAAAAAGATGCTTTCTGTCCCAAAGTCTTGTTGTCTATAAATAAGGCAAAAGACAACCATTAGACACAGCCAGACAGATGGGGGAAAGAATGGGGCTCTGGTTTTGTACAGGTCTCTAGGCAATACTTAGTACAGAAATAAAACACTAAAATCAAATTCCATATTTTGGCTGTTTTTAAAATTCCGCTTCTATTTCTGCATAAAATCCACATCAGACTGTTTGACACTGGAAATTACATTGTTTTACTCAAGTTGTGCTACTGAGTCAGCTCAGGACAGTTCCAGGCTTGAAAATATCAACTATTTGCCTCTTCTACTTTAACAAAGTTGGGCACCTGGCCAGTTTCCAAAGAGAGAATTTGTTTGCAGGTTGAAAAATCTGCAGCATGAAACTTCACAAGAATCTAATTGTTTTTCTGCATTTCCAGTGCATAGCCTGGCTGAAAGAAAACTAATCCTGTAACGAGCAGACCACATGGCTGTGGAGCGCAAAACAACTTAACTGTTGAATGAGCTCTTTTATGGAGGGCAGTCCATAAATCACTGTCAGTTGGAGGGAGGCATTTCTTATGCGAATGGCAGCTATTTATTTAAACTCATTTCCTAGGAAGTTTACTTATTCCCGAGACAGCAGTTTTGGCTTTAAAATGTTATTTCTTTAAAAATTCTACTTTAAGATCACTGGATATTTTGCAATATTCTGATGTAATGTGGTTTGCTATTCAAAAGCTTAAATATAAAGATAGAGCTGATTCAGTAAAGTTCTTCATGTGATTTCTTGACAACTGGGGCTCAGTGCAGTATTTTGGTCTGGGAACCAAGAAACATTAGCAACCTTTCCCTTTGTCTTTGGCTGTGGCTTTAACAAAGCCCTGCCTCCCAAATAAGCTCTCAATCTTTACTTTATGTGAACATCTACCATCTAAAAAATATTTAAATTTAGTAACATGGCACTGGGATCGAGGAAGCTCAACTGAATGGTGGATTCGTCCCCTACGACCTTTTTTTCCTCTTAGCATGTCGTGCTGCTTTATGAGAAGGCTGACGCTGCTTCTTCAAAGCTTGTAATCTTCCTGTTATCAGAGAGGAATCAAATGAAAGGGGTAGTTCCTGTGTAACGGGGCCCTGCCGAAACTAACCACTATTTTGTCAGTATTAGCCACTCAGTGGCATGAAGTCATCTGCAATCGCTCTCGCCTTTTTTGAACTTCAAAAAGGTTGAGCTGGAAATAAAATGTTTAGATTTGGTTGAAACAAAAATGTTCAATTTTTTTTTTTTACATTTTTGATTTGCGCCACCTCTCCCCCCCCCCCCCAAAAGACCTGAAATGATTTTTTCCCCCTAAAAATGCCAGTGAACCAAAAAAATCCATTATTCATACTGCTCTGTGTGGCAGTCACTTCCCTGATTCCATTGTAGAGATAAATTTCTCTTCTAAGGAAGGTCTGGCCTTCACACAGACTTTTTAGCATTATAACAAGTCAGCTTAGGGGCGTGACCTTTTGTTTTGTTTTGTTTTTTTGTAACTGAAATAGTTATTCTGGTACAACCTCTATTGTGGCTGCAGCTATACTGGTATCAACAGGCCTTGCACCAGTGTAACTATTAGGCTTATTGCTGGTTTCGTGCCACATTAAACTTTCCTATGTGAAGTGGAACAGTGAGAAAATGGGACGTTAACTTAAATCTGATCAACCTGAATATAACAGGACTCATTCTCCTGTCATTTACACCAGTGTAAATGAGAATTAACTCGTTGCAGTCAATGGAATAACATAGGTGTAAAACCAATAAGGTGTGGATCAGGCCCAAGACGCATATAGTGGTTTTCTACAATTACTCTTGATTTATATCACTATATATGACATCAGATTAAAGGCCCATTGTGGTTGGGAGAAGAACAGACAGTGCTGTAATTATTAAAAGACCAATGTAGCTTTCTGACGCTGGCGCTAGTTTTGGTCATCGGTTGCAAGACTATGGGTTTGAGAGGCCCACTGAAGCATTATTTTCTACCTACAAAAGATCCTAATGAGAAAGACAGATCTCTTCACCTCTTCTTTCATAATACTAATCAGGAATATAGTTCTGCAGATGCTACAGAATCCATCTGCCTACAATGATGATATCTGGAAAGGACTGAAGTTTGAAATCTGAATTCAGTTCTAATTGATACTTGCACTGAAGGAGTATGACATATTTATTCCACAGCCAAGCATGGTGTGGATGTGTAATTTATCCTTGCTTCCATATCAATGATCAAAGAACAGGGACAACCTGAGTCCCTGTATAAGGATCTTCAGTTAAGGACTAAAGATTCAAATGATTAATTTTTTTAAAGGAAACACATTTGGTTGTATATTGATATATGTATGATTTAATAATCTATCATTCAGATGCTACTATGCATTAAAATGTCAGTCCCACAGTTCCCTGTTTGAGTTAGTATAAGGGTTTAATAAACCACAGAAATCTGAAATCATTTGTAAAATTTATTAACCCCGATTATTACAAGAGTTTAGTAAAGCAGGGAGAATTCTGGTCAGTCTTAGGGTTGCTTTTTATTAGGATTAATTACAGATATGAATGGAGATGAGTAACTGACAAAACAACTAAGGTTTTTATTTTTTCTAAATCTGAAAAACATTAACAACATAAGATTGTAGATACATCCTCTGAATTAGTATAGTGGAGATACTAGCGCCCCCTTGTGCTGTATGAATAGTTTAAGTATTTGTATTTGTTATTCTACCTCACCAAGTCAAGGAAGAAACTGTGCTTTAAATCATTTCAAGCCTTTGCATTTTAGCCTTTTAATTTACATTAATAATATGCAGGCCAATCTGAAGCATAATCTTAAAACCACTGATTCTATTATACTGCAGACCTTGCTAATTACAGCATAATGTCAAACTACATAAGGGTTGGCTGGTTGGTATTTACTTTTAAATATAAATTTTATCAAAATATGATTTTTTTCATGACTGCTTTAAAGCTCTGTAGCTGAGAATTCTTTGTTCACTGCTTTGCCACAAAAATTGCATTCCTTTCATCACATGCACTTACTCTGCTATTCATCTTTTTCACTGCCACTTGCTGACCTCACCTATACTTCCTCTCACCCCCATAGACTTAAAAATCATTCACATGACCTCCCTTTAATTATAATATTACAGACTGTTTCTCAATGACCTTTACAGTTACTTACTAACATCTAATGAACAAATTCTGTAAATGATACACCTCAAATGTACACAAACATTGCCTTTAGCCTTCAGCATGGCCCTCATTTGATGACGGCCATATAAAGGAAAATAATGAGACATCTTTACTGCAAGGGAGCTCATAGAGAGTGGCTGATTCTTCAGCAGCCAAGCATATTCATTACTTGGATTTTCCAGCAGGTAGAATAGACACTGGATCTGTTTGCACTTCAGCATCAGACATCCGTTTCGGCCCCTGGGGAAGAATATATAGAAATGTAAAAATAATTGAACAATGCTGAAGAACAATTACATCTGCAATTATGTTTTAGTTCTTTGCAAACAGACATTTCCATTGATGTTACTTCTCTCTCTCCTCAATTCTCCTCCTTTAATCAATTTTTAATACTACTGAGAGCTGGAGCCACATCTGCACACTCCCCACAATGGGAGTAAAATGGTGCAAGCCACAACTATACCTAAACATGGCTGTTGCTCATTCTCTCTGGTTATTGTTTTCAGAGAACTGCACTAACCAACCATGCTATGTTATTGTGGTTCCAGAATAGTTCTCAATAAAATATCATTGTCCAAACTGGTTACTGCACCCATACTAGGGCCCTTCAAATGGGCTTAGGAGTTCTGCTCCCAGTTTAAAGGAACATTAAATGCCTTTACATATATAGGTATTTGAAAATGTCATAATGATCTTGCATTTGTAATGCCCTGTCTACACTACAAAGCCAACTGTTCTGGTAACCGTTCATGACACTCCTCTGTCCCGATTATAAGAAACATGGTTGAGTTGCAACAGCTCTAGTCACAACACAGACATGGCTCTGTCTTACATTAGGTGAAGTTTTCCAAGCAGTTAAAGCCATTTTGTAAACCCAGTTTTAGGTGATTTGGGGTGCCCTGACCCATTTTTAGTCATCTTGAAACCAGCACAATAAATAGAAATATGCAAACATCAGTTGAATAATTCTGAAGGACAGGCGTCTTAAACAGTCTAAATCCAAACCCATGTCTAAACTACACAGCTAAACCGTTTTAAAATTTAGTTTAGCTGAACCAGATTTAAAACCGGTTACAAGATTTCCTGCAGTAGACCAGTGCCATGTGTTAGCTAGGCTTACGCAGCCATACCTACCATTCTGTCTAACTGTGTGTATTTAGTACATTATTGGAAAATCTAGACCCCTATCACTCACAACTTCAGCAGTTGGTCTATTGCCTGGAGAGGACGTGCACACAGGGTGGCACCAATAATGCATGGAGAATTGCACTCTGGGACATACAGTTTCACAGAGAAGTGGGAGAAAGGACTAGCCAAACTAGTCTCACAAGCATGGTTAGGGAATCCTCCCCCTTGCTCGTGAAGCAACAGCAGATACTTTGACATTAATCCATGTGGCCATGTTAATGACCTGCTGGCTGCTGGCCATTTTATTTTTCTTGTTCTAAAAAATTGCAGCATAACACCCCTCCACCCTTAAAAGTCACCACCATCACATCAGTTGGCCAAAGAGGGCACTGTTTTATCCTGTGCAATCTATGTTGACCCAGATGCAGGCAGGTGCGACTCCAGTGATTGGTAACTGAGTTGCACCCGCTTACACCAAAGTTGACTTTGAACCACTGTGTCTAGAACTAGATGGCTTCTAACTGGTTATGCCCTGCAGGCAGCACAAGCTGTCTTTTTAAATGCATCGACATTGGTAGTTGACCATAATTATAAATCAACAACACAAAACAAGCTAGTCATTCCAAATTGAGCCAGTTAAAAGAGTCTGAACATCAATTAAAAGATTTCCCAATGTTAGATGATTAGCTTGAAGTCTGTCAACTGTAACTGTCTGTGCAATGCATGAGTACATTAACTTGAGAAATAAGATACTATTGTTTGCCCTGTTTCCTATAAATACTGCAGGCGGGAAGTGAACTCATTTTGACTGACTTAGCACACTTGCCAAATAGCATCATTTATTAATGTCACCTATAGTACATCCTGATCGCTGCGCCCATTTTCAAAGTGCCTTGCTAAATAAAACTGGAAGCTGGAAAGGACGCTGGCCTGTGATTCTTATTATCTAGAATTTTCAAGGCTCTTGTGTCTATGAAACAAAGTGTTGATACCTCTGTTTTAATAAGCAAGTTCCAGATCTGCCCTCAGATACGTGGGCAGGCATGGTTCCCATTGGTCCAAACTCTGCTCTCAGTTATTCCTGTGCAACCTCTTTGAGGGCTAACCTGGAACACATTTAATTTGGACTGTATCTGTTCTAAGTGCGGGACAGGAATGTAGTGATAGAACGGCAGTTCTGATTCAGAGCGCACTCAACAAAAGCATTGCCTCCATGCACACTGTACTGAAGATCCCGATTCAGATAGTTCCCGAGAATGTTTTCATGTGTGGAATACCCACAGTTTCCATTTATTTCATTTTGAGTTGTCCTATTTCTGAAAATCAGGCCATTAATCCTGAGCTTTAGTAAATGTACATTTTCCTGATTCTCACTCTACCCTAAATTCCTTTGCATTTTATTACGTTGTGAATTCCTCTTTTGCTTATGTAACAGACACAGAATTGTGTAGCTTCTTTCAATGAAGTTCAGATAGTCAATGACCCTTGTTCTCTGACAGACCAATGCTATTGGTGCTGTAATTTTGTCTAATAGCATAATCTGTTCCACTAGTAGCTAGGAACAGATGCCGGATCTCAACATTCTAATCTAGTGCATCCCTGCACATTCCGTTCCCTTTATACTACTCTGTGAGCTGAGGGGTGAAAATATTATCTACTATCCTTTTCCAGAAGAATCAATGGTTTCAGGGCAGAGTGTTTTTTAAAACAGCTGGCCAGAATTCAAGGGACAATCCAGTGGACTTTGCCCATGAAAATGCACAATGGAGTATGGAGACAAGTAAGGTCTAGAGAACCTCCATATCTGCTAAAATATCTTCTATCCCCATTTTATCAGTCCAGAGCTCAGCACTTTATCAGAGAAGCTGTTACCAGATTTCTGGACTGATACTTTGAATGGAGGATACTATGATTGGCTTATGTATAGTCTAATACTCTGAGTTTAACTATTACAATTTGTGGTGTGGACTTTGCCACTTATTTTGGTTTGGTCTCCTCAGAACTATCATTGTTGTATTGTAAAGTGTTGGTCTCTGGAAGGATTGAGGATTGACTTCTTTAGACATGGATAAAAACTTGAGACATAAATGTATGAAGGAGTGGTAGTATGCTGTCAAATATTTCAATCTGGGGAACACTTCTGTTTTAAATGCTGAATATTCTTCCTGATTGGAGAGATCAAAACATCCATCTCCTCTGTGCAGCAAGATCTGGTAGTGGATTGGCTTTCCCAGTTGAAGAGCTAGCCAACTGGCCAGATAAACTATAAATCTAAAACCTTTCCACTATATACATACATATAAAAAGGAGTTATTCTGCTCACGAAAGAGGAAAGATACCAGAGTATGTTAGGGCTTTGTTAATGCAACAGAAAATGATGCACTGCATGGCCAAATTCATATCAGGCATGAGAAATACAAAGTAGCAAAGAAAAATATCTCAGAGAATCTCTCTTTCTATTCTCCCTTCACTTTACTTGCTTGTAGCAATATCCACCTCTCTTTTTCTGCACACAATCTCATCTCTCTTGGTGCAAAAGCCTTCTCTGCTCTGTCTGAGAGACATCCTCCTGCCTCACTGACTCTTATATAAAAACATATTCTCTTGTTTGCCTCCTAATCTCTTTGCAATTATTCTAATGCTGTAGCTATTTAAGGCCATGTCTACACTTACAAGCTTACAGCGGCACAACTGTACCAATACAGCTGTGCCATTGGAAGAGCGCTCATGTAGCCATGTTATGCCAATGGGAGAGAGCTCTCCCGTCAACATAATAAAACCAGCTCAATGAGAGGTGGTAGCTATGTCGGCGGGAGAGCGTCTCCCACTGACACAGTGCTGTGCACATGAGTGCTTATGCCAGCAAAATTTGTTGCTCAGGAAGGTGGGTTTTTTTACACTCATGAGCGACAAAAGTTTTGCTGACATAAGTGCTAGTGTAGACATGGCCTAGCTGTATGAAAAGTTTCTGGTGCAGCTTGTATGAATGACACAATACAAAATAAAGAACTATTGTCTACAAATACAGAGCCCCTTTCTCACTCATTGACTTCACTGAGAATTTTGACTAAGAAAAGATATTGCTATTTGGCCCACAGTATTTAATTTCTGCAGAATTCAAACCAAGCAATTCTCCATTATCTCTAGAAACAATAGAGGTAGTAAATATTTGCCTGGTCAACTTGTAACCCATGCGAGGACGCCCTCTACTCAGTTCACATAAGAGGTTAACAAATCTACTACAGCTACCAGCTAAATCGTTTAGGTCAAGCAATAGAAGCTCCTGGTTTTACACCAGAAGATCCCAGGTTCAAACCCTGCTGTTGGCCAAAGTGGGATTGGTTACAAATATACATAATATGAGTCGAGTTTTCCAGACACGTGAGTACACTGTATGCTTGTCAGTCATGTGGTGCATATACACATATTTATATACTTGTGCATATTGGGGACTTGCACACAGATTTGGGTGAGTGGGAAAGTACACACGCACTCAGGAGCACGTGTCTAATAACTGGGACCAGTTTGTACAAGATACAAACAGTAGGTATAAACAAGGTCCTGCTTCTCCCAGAGGATGCTGAGCAACAGGATCTACCCCTTGACTTCAGTGGGAGCTGCAGACAGTGCTTAATTTGTAATGAAAGAGGTACTGGGGCTCAAGCAATTTTTTACTTTAATAACGGATGCGGCAAGCACAGTGGTGCTGGGGCTATGAACTGCCAAGCCTAGAGGTGTTGGGGCTCAACTCTGGCAAGCCCCAGCACAAATTAAGCACTGGCTGCAGATGAATGGACGTCAATGTAAATTATTAGTACTTAGCATCCCTGAACATCTGGGGTGAAATTCTGGCTCCACTGATTTCAATGGCAAAATACCCCCAGATTTTAAGAAGGCCAGGATTTCACTCAAGGCCTCTAAATGATACATATATGTTAAACAGGAAAAAAAAAATTGTAAGTGGCTTCATTATTATGAAGAGATCATGCAGAAAGAGTTAAGTTTCTTTCCTTCTCCTTCCCCGGCCAATATACAAATTTTTTGTAATGCAAATAGCACAGTGTAGGATAGATCACAATTCTGTGAAATGAATGTAAATCAAACACTCCTTATGATGTGGAAAAACATCTGCCACAAAATGAGTCATATTGTTCTGAACAACAGCTTAACTTTATAACCTAATGTTCTAAAAGGGCTAGTTTTCAAATCAGTGTCAATTTAAATTCTGTTCTACTTGCTTTTTCCTCTTCTGGGCAGTGGTGGTTGGCTGTTTTATTTTCTTTCCTAGCCACCTTATGAGCAGAGCCAGGGGGAAAAAAAGTTTTAAATAACCTCTCACAACCAGATTCATTACAGCTAAGGTGGCCTCATCGTTTTGTGTTCTTCCCACCACTGGGTATTCTTGGCGATGTCCATTTGGGATGTAAAAAGATGTGGCTAGCCTTGGATGAGGGTTTGAAGTCAGGAGTGATCCCATTGCATGTTGTACTCAGTCTCTCTGTTGTGGTAGGGAGAGCGGAACAAGTTGTTTCCTGCCAATTGATTTTATGAAAAGCTACTAGAAAATGCTTGACTCCTCTGTTCCTGACATTGGTTGTTTAGAGAGAAGGCATCTTAACAGAGGCAAGTGGCTATCTGTGAACTAGCTTTTGCATTGCTCACCATGAGAGAGACAATGTCGGTGAGGTAATATCTTTTATTGGGCCAACTTCTGCTGCTGAAAGAGATGTTTTTGAGCTACAGAGAGCTCTTCTTCAGGTCTGGGAAATGTAATCAGAGTCTCCTAGCTAAATACAAGGTGGGACAAAGTGTTAAGCATAAGGAGTTAACACATGTTGCAAGAGACTATTCACAATGAAGTGGGCAATGAACACCTCTGCAGTCATAGGACAAAGGAGGATTAGTAGATTGCAGATTGTTGTAATGAGACATAAAATCAGTGTCTCCGTTCATGACTTTTAATGTCTAGCAAAGTTATGAATTTTAGCTCCCACACTAAAACTGCACAGGTGTGGTGCAGCTTTTCTTTGAGGATGAGGACTGAGAGGTCAGATATGGAGAGTGATGGTTTTGTAAAAAGCGTTTACCCGCAGGTGTTAGGGTATTTCTGTCTTATCATTTTTTTCTGAGTCAGTTCATTTGAGAGCTTAGTGATTGTCTGGTTTTACCCACATTGTTGTTCTTCGGGGGACTTAATAAAAGATATTGCCTCACCCACCTTGTCTCTCTCATATCCTGCGACCAACACAACTACAACAACCTTGCTCGCCAAGGCCTCACTAGATGGGTGAGAGAAGGAAAGCAGAAGGAGCCATACCCATTGTATACCCCGAACAAGCACTAGACTCGTTGGCATCCCCCAAGCTCATGAGAGTTCAGATGTTCAGTCAACAACATTTTCCCAAAAAATCTAAATTTCAGGGGTGTGAAATGCCACAAAATAAAGTGGCAAAGAAAAATCCACGCACGTATTCCCAAGGTATTTTCCACCTGCTCTAATGTTGATTGGCAGCTGTGTTCCCATTTTCCCCTGCCTCTGGCTGAAAATGTGCTGCCGTAAGGCCCTGATCCTGCAAGCTGCTCCATCTAAGTGAACTCCAGTGTCACCCCATTGAAGTTAATAGCATGTACCAGTGCAGGGGTCTGCTCACAAGAGGCAGCTTGCAGGGTCGTCATTTAAATCAGCGGAATCACGATTTAAAAGCAAAAGTTAATTTAACGTACTAAGCCCTTAAAAAAGCCTCCAAATGACTGTCTCTTCTCCATTTTCTTGAGGGGGGAGTCCTTCGCAGTGTCTCCTCCATTCTGGATTGAGTCGGTGGCTGTGGTTTGCTGTTCTCTGGAGTCTTGCTGATCTTGGGTTTCCTGTTTGCTCAGCTCTGTTGTAGACGTTTTGTCTTTTGAACTCTCCTTGCTCTTCTGGCCCACAGGTTCACTTTCCGTTGGCGCAACTGGCCTCTCTGTGGAGCCTGATGTCTAAAGCAGTTTCAAACAATGGTTATTTTTAGTGGAAAATATAAACATTTTGGCAGGAGGTTCATAAATATAGTAAAAATCAAAGGCCACCTCCAACATACAGAGCTTGGGCCTGATTCAGCAGCCTTTACTTAGGACAGTAGCCCCAATGAGACTGAGATCACTTATGTGAGTAAAGACTGAGGATCAGACCCTTTCTGCATAGCCTTTATTTTTATATATTTCTACAGTGAAGCTTCTTCAGCAGACAGCGGCACGTGATTTAAAAAAAGAAAAGACCGTATATTTATAGATATAGAGAATTACATGCATGCTCTCACAGCTGCAAAGATATAACCGTCTCTGTATCCCAAGCTGCAAAGTCACCATAGAAGCTTGAAAGTGCAAGGGAAGGAGCGATAAAGACAGGTAGCAGGGCACATAAAGCAGAGGTAAAAATATCCCGTCTATAAAATTACAATACTCCACCAGGTGATTAACAAGCCATGATTTGGCCATGGAAGTCCAGTGCCATAGAAAATGCTGCATGGAATTGCAAAAGGAGACACTGTGAATTCCTTAAAACACAAACAACATTACAGAGCAGACAAATACAGTGAAGGTAAGAACTCAAATTGAGAAAACAAGTGGATAGGGTCAAAGTTCACAAATCAAGATTCAGATCTGAAGAACAAATAAAATAACATGATGATTCTGTCAGTTTCTGTGGTTGTAGATTACTGGTTACATTTGTGCTAAAACATTTGCTTGCAAATGGGAATTTCTTTTTGCATCATATAAGACTTGTCAAAACTATATTGACTTATTTATTCAGTTAAAAAGAATCATGGTAGTGGAGCCTACAAATTAGACATATTTAGGCCATCTGCAAATTTGGCCCTTGCAGCCTGAAGATACTCCCATGGTTTAACAAATTGCAGTGTTGCCAACTCTTCTGATTTTATTGTGAGTCTCATAGTAGTGGTTGATTTTCTTAAAGCTCCATATCCTGGAATCACGTGATTACAGGAGAATATCAGCTTTCATTAAAAACAAAGTAAGTCTTTAGCTATCATGGTTACAGAGAAACTTCGAAGTATAAACTCTAAAGCAGGGGTAGGCAATCTATGGCACGCGTGCCGAAGGCGGCACGCGAGCTGATTTTCAGTGGCACTCACACTGTCCGGGTCCTGGCCACCAGTCCGGGGGGCTCTGCATTTTAATTTAATTTTAAATGAAGCTTCTTAAACATTTTAAAAACCTTATTTACTTTGCATACAACAATAGTTTAGTTATATATTATAGACTTATAGAAAGAGACCTTCTAAAAACATTAAAGTGCATTACTGGCACGCGAAACCTTAAATTAGACTGAATAAATGAAGACTCAGCACACCACTTCTGAAAGGTTGCCGACCCCTGCTCTAAAGGCTCAAAAACCAGGAGACAAAGAAAAAGAACTCCAAATCTATTATTAAAAAAAATAATGATGATTTTTAAGCTCATCACATAATTTTGGGGGCCTGATTTATGATTTTTGAATTCCTGGGGTTGGCAATACTACAACTGGTCAATTTCACATAAGTCCCTCTTTCCTTTTCATTATAGAATCATAGGGTTCAAAGGGACCACAAGGGTCATTTAGTCTAACTCCCTGCCAAGACTGCAGAATTTGTTGTGCCTAAACTATCCAAGACAGATGGCTATCCAGCTTTCTTTTGAAAACCTCCAGTGAAGGAGCATCGACAACCTCGTTAGGCAGTCCATTTCATTGTCCTACTGTTCTTACAGTTAGGAAGTCTTTTCTGAGATTTAATCTAAGGCTATGTCTACACTAGCATGTTTGTCAATAAAACTTTTGACAGTCAGGGATGTGGAAAAAAAGACACCCCGCTCCCCCGACCGAAATAACTTTCACCGACAAAAGTGCCTGTATGGACAGCGCTATGTCGGTGGGAGATGCTCTCCCACTGACATAGCTACCGTTGCTCATTGGGAGTGGTTTAATTAAGCCGACAGGAGAGCTCTCTCCCGCCAGCATAGAGCAGCTACATGGGACACCTTACAGCAGCACAGCTGCAGTGGTACAGCTGTGCCGCTGTAAGGTCTGTAGTGTAGACAGAACCTAAATCTGCTATGGTGTAGTTTGAACCCATTGCCTCTTGTCCTGCCCTCTGTGGCAAGAGAGGACTTTTCTCCATTTTTTAAGGCAGCCTTCCAAGTATTTGTCCTCCCTTAATCTCCAAACTAAACATACCCAGTTCCTTCAGCCTTTGCTCATATAGCTTGCAGTCCATCCCTTTGATCATCTTTGTTACTCGCTTCTGGATCTGTTCCAGTTTCTCTACATCCTTGCTATATATGTACTGCTCACACCAAAATCTTGCAGGTCAGAGAACCTTTGATTCTATATCCATGCCAATTCCCCTGCTGTTTAAGATTGAAGAACTTAATTCCTTGACTAAGGCTACGTCTACACTACAGCCTATGTCAGCATAACTTATGTCACACAGGGGTGTGAAATCCCCCCCCCCCCCCCCCCCAGCAACATAAGTTATAAAGACATAAGCGCTCATGTGCACAGCGCTATGTCACAACACAGCTTCTGCTGCTGGCGGAGGTGGTTTTATGATGCTGACGGGAGAGGTCTCTCCTGTCAGCATAGAGAGTCGAGTCTTCACCAGACGCGCTGCAGCTGCACACCTGTATTGGTACAGCTGCGCTGCTGCAGTGCTGTACTTATAGACATGGCCTCAGTTATAATATTGTCTTTATTTTCAACTGTGAACCCTTGTTCCTTTTCTTTTGGGGAGGTAGTATGTCTATGTATTGCTTGCTTGTATATTGATTTCTCAACCTTTATATAAAATCAAACCTATATCATTTCTCTGGAATTCCCTCATTCTGCTGTGGCACATAAGACGACCCATCAAATTTGGAGTTATAATCGGGTTTATAATGCAGTTTGAGCAACGGCATTATACACCATACTGAGGCCAGCTGTGTCTCTTAGGAAAAAAGAATATTCTTAAGGCAAACTCAGAGCTATTCAGCAACTGCCGGATTTATCTACACAGACACTGTATCTTGTAAATAATTGCATATGGGGTAAAAGAGCTGATTTGTATGTGTTCTGTGGGCACCCAAAACTTACAAATCGGGTTTCTGGGGGTGCAAGGAATGCAAGGAAAAGTGCTGCATAAAACCAAATTTAATTCTGTCTATCCTTATTCTGACTAATTTCAATGTCAAACAAGAAGCACTCATTTGCTCGCCTCCTGCTTTGTTTGACAAGATACTTGTCCCTCTTATTTGCCATAGATTGCTTTTTGAAATGTCACTATTTAGTGGATTCGCAGACCTGCATGAACAACTAGAAATAATCAAAGTACAAAGATTCCTGCACTACAACATGGGATGTGTCTGAGGCCATGTCCACCCTACAGGTGTATAGTGGTATAATTGCTTCCATCATTGTAGGAATTCCACCTCCCCAAGTGATGGTAGATAGGTTAATAGAAGCATTTTTCCATCAACCGAGCTGCATCTACATCAGGATTAGGTCAGCATTGCTAGAACAGTCAATGGTGTGGATTTTTCCACGCACATGAGCACCACGGCTATGTTGACCTAAGTTTTAAGTGCAGACTAGGACTAAGTTCCAAGATGTGAGGACAGAGTCTAGCCCTGATAAACACCCTATGAAATCAATGGGATCATACAGGTTGTAAAGTTAGGGCAGATTCTGTCCTATCATGTTTATTCAATTGTGTGAGTTCCTGATAGTTATTGTAGTTTTTCAGGCCAAATCCAAACTGGCTTCAATGGGACTGTTCTGATAAATGTAGCAAGCACATTTTGGCCTTTGATGTTACTCAGAAAAAACACTTTAAACAATATCGGTAATATTTTTTTCAGACAAAGCAGAAAAAAATCAGATAATCTCTTTGAGGTGTTTCATATTAATCTTGAAAGGCAGGAAATTGACACATTTAATATTGATGGGAGTGACATCAGGAAATACAAACTGAAACCTATGAATAATGAACCATGTTAATGTTTCTCATTTTAAAGGTTGATCTGCATCTGACAAACTGCATTACCTCTTTTGGAGTTAATTTACTCTCACGGAAAAAAGTAATAAAAAAAATTAACAGGATAGTATTTTTCCTGTCATGTTTTACTAAGGCTTGATCCAAAGATTTTGAAGTCAGTAGAAAGCTTTCAAGGTTATGCTCTTGGCAAAACAATTAAAATAAAGTGAACAATGGACTGATTCTCCTCAGTGCAAGTGAGAGGAGAATCAGGCCCAATACATACATGTTTTTTCTAGAAATATGGTAGGTAATTGGTAGCAACTGACAATTTAAAAAAAAAAGGAAAAGAAAAAGAAAAAAGTATAGAATATGAGCCCAGGACGGTAGTCATCTGAGAAGCCTCATTGTAAGTAAAGAATTGTTAGCTTATAAGAGTAAAGAGTTCAGAATCAGACCTTGTATCTTCTGTGATCTCTATAAGAGAATCATCAGCTAAGATTAGCTTAAACTATCAGCGGATGTTACACAACAGAAAAACACTTTCCTGATGATAAAAATGAGAATGAAGAAAGAAGGTCTGATAGGTCAATTTTCATCACAGCTTTAATTTTGCTACTGAGTTACAGAAAACCATAACAGTCCATACATGGCCAGATCCTTAGCTAGTGTCAGTTGATTTAGCTCCAGTGACTTAAATGGAGGTCTGCTGATTTACACCAGCTGAGGATCTGGCTCATAGTAAAGATCACAGCTTTTGAATTTCTACTAGAAAAGTCAGTGATTTTATAAAGAAATCTTGGCACAATAAGGAATATAAAGGGACACGATCGGGTAGTTTTGGCTCATGCTTTAGGTTTTGTTTAAAGAAAAACAAAACAAAGAAATGTTTTCCTGATTTTTGTTAAATTTCAGTGAAAGTTTTTACTTTAAATTTAACTCTTCTTCCATAGTGTTTGTTGGAATATAATATCTCTCCAATAGTGCATGTGATGCTCTAGAAAATAACCGACTCAAAAGATATCTGGTTAATTTCACTGTCCAAGGTGATTGAAGTGGGAAAGTAAACAAATAGCATAAAGGCTGTAAAGGAAAATAGATTATAAAAATTGGTTCATTTTACTAATTATTATGAAAATGAAAAACATGAATTTTTTTTTTAACCTTCATTCATCCTTATTAAGCAACAATGAATGGAAGAAATTCCATGGACATGATACCATCTTTTTACAATCCGTGATTTTTTGTACTAAAAAGCCAATCAGATACATAAGTGGGAAATAAGCTACAGTGAAACCCATCACCGAGAGATGAATAAATCCAAACACTTACTTGGTGACTGGGGTCTGGCCCATTTACCTCTTCTGAACTGGTAGCCCCTCCATCATTTTTGACTGACTAAAATAACAAAGGAATATAGGTCTTCCACGCTTTAAGCATAGATTCAATATTAAATCAAAAGTCTAAAGGCTTAATTTAAGCACATAATTCCTAACAGCGTAAACGCAAAACAAAACCATCACATCTCAAACTGTCTGCAAACACTATTGAAATGGGTCCCCTTCCATGGCTGTATCACCAAGGTAAATTTTTGCATATGTATATCAATGCAGCACTGTAGTCTTTTGGAAGGCAATTTTCCTGTTGAGGGCTGTACAATATGAACAGCGTCTCACTGGATTGATGATTGCGCAGTATGATGAGTGGGATGGATGGTGCTATCATCCCTGCCATCAAAGTTAACTAGGGACGTGATTCTGGCTTACAGCTCTGAGACAACTCGCCTTTATAGGATTATCCTCTTGAGAGGTTGTACTTGTACTTTATTTCTACATATGTGCTTAAAGCTGCGGTTGACAATTAAAACCTGTTGAGATTTGCACATTTTCACCATTGCTCTACATTTCCCACCCCAAATTATGTATTTTGTTTTATGCCTTAACTCTCAAAGGAGCGTGTGCATATAGGCAACAACCTTTCTTGGCCTCAGCTCTTCTTGGCCAGAATAATCAAAGTAGACCCTGAGGCTGTAGCACAGGAAACGTATTCAAAGTAAATCTTGACTCTGAATTACATTTTAAAAGAATGATCCGATGTCCCCATAGTTTTATATAATATATAATTAGTTTTATGGATGGATATGACAAAAGGATTAATTAAAATTTGGGTTAGGTTTTAGATTGGAATTAATACTTAAAAAAATTACTAGAACAATGTAAAAATACGTCAAAGTGTCTGATTGGGTTCTGTTTCCAATAATATAACATGGTATTCTGTTGCAATTTGTTTAGCCATGGAGTATTAAAGCATAAAGTGAACCCCAGTATTTCAAAGTTCCCGAGCTTGAATGTCATTTTTCATTGCATAAGTGCAATGAAAACAATGAAAGGATGTGACTTTTGCTCTAAAGATAGACTAAGCGGATTTGTGGTTTTCTGCAGCTTGTAGATTTATCACTTGCAATACAACATTATCAGCTCAATCCTGAGTGCAATCTCGTAGCAAAGATCTCTTTTTGGTGTATGATTCTTTTCTTTTCTCTCTAGCTGTTGAAAATCAATACTAAATAGGAGTTTGTTCAAAAGCTAAAGATTTTAAAGGGGTTTATTATGGGTAACCAAATTTGGGGAAGGCATTATTCTTTTAGGAACATGTCTTGGCTTGGTTGATCAATTACCTAGTTATATTAACGATGGTTGTTACCTGTGGGAAAGGTTGAAGAAATGGGAGAGAGGAAGCACTGTGTGATCTTTGTTACATTACAGGTTAGTACCCTAGTCTATGGTGTATGATGACTGTATAGCGATAAGATCGAGTTTGCATTTCTATTTCAGTGACTCTTATTCATATATGTTTAAGATGAATTTTAACAATAAGTAAGTTTACCAAAATAGGAGCCACTCTACTGCCTTTTATACATAGGAAAGAAGAATAACTTTAACAAACCTTCAGTAATCTCTCAGAATTCAAACTACTAATTATCAGTGGAGCATAGTTAACTATGGGCTAAATCAGTGGTGGGCAACCTGCAGCCTGCGGGCCCCACACGGCCCGTCAGGGTAATCTGCTGGCGGGCTGCAAGACAGTTTGTCGACATTGACTATCCGCAGGCACAGCCACCCGCAGCTCCCAGTGGCTGCGGTTCGCTGATCCTGGCCAATGGGAGCTGCGGGAAGCGGCGTGGGCTGTAGGCCGCAGGTTGCCCACCAAAATCCTACAATCCTTACCCAGGGAAAATTCCCATTTGTTTCAATGGAAGTTTTACCTGAAGACTTCACCCTAAAGAACTGCTCTTTTCTTGTGTCCCACTTTAACCAATTTAGGGTTGCTATTGATGGGCTTTTGAAAGTGTTTCCATAACAAGGAAGGCGGGTCAACATGACAAGATAGCGGACAGGGTGGGGACAGGGAACAGCTTTGCTAAATACAGGCTACACTTTTGTGAGTAATGACTGTCAGAATTGGGTCAGTGTAAAATACCTATATCTATACTTAAGAGGAAGTTGTTACTAAGGACTTGTCTACACTGGGAAATTGACTGGCATAGTTATTCTGGAATAACTCCCCACATGAGCACTCCATTCTGAAACAAAATGTGACTTTATTCCAGAATAATTACTTTGCTTCTGAAGCAGATTAATAATTCTGGAATAAAATCACTTTTCTATTTCAGAATAATGTCCACATGGGGGAGTTATTCCAGAATATCTAAATTATACCAGAATAGCTATAGCAGAATAGTTTTTCTGGAATAGGTAAGAACGTAAGAACACCATAACTGCCATACTGGGTCAGACCAAAGGTCTATCTAGTCCAGTACCCTGTCTTCCAACAGTGGTCAATGCCAGGTGCCCCAGAGGGAATGAACAGAACAGGTAATCATCAAGTGATCCATCCCCTGTCACCCATTCCCAGCTTCTAGCAAACAGAGGCTAGGGACACCTTCCCTGCCCATCCTGGCTAATAGTCATTGAGGTATGCCAGTCCATTTCCCCCACATAAACAAGAACTCAATCCCAGCTTTTCCATTGACCTCAGGTTTATAGCTCCACTCATTGTGGTCAGAGAAAGGAGAGAAATTTTATACTGTTCAAAAGTTTCCTCATAATATCTGCAGATATTCATGGCATATGATACACACTTGTTTTGATCAATTAAGCCTGAATAGCGGGATAGGATTTTGCATCCATGCTTGATTACAGATGTGGCCTATAGTTCAAGCAAAATAATGCTGACATTCCTTTATGTTTAATAATGTTATAAGGGGTTGGAGTGAGTCAGTACTTGGTGATGCATCCTACCAGCCCTTCCCTAGTGACTCCAGTAGGTGTTGTTGTATTTACTGTACATAACAAGGTTTAAGGATTGGCTCTCTCTGAGTCACTCTGAAGGTTAAAATGTGTGAGTTAGTGTGGAATGATGGAACAGCTATAAGCATGGTTGAGAAGTACTTTTCGCTCAGAATATCACCAGATTGAATCATAACTGGGTTTCATGGTCTGTTACTGTCCAATGTTTAGTTCTCAGACATTTATATTTCACAAATTACATCTGTGTGATGTACAGGTATGGTGTACAGCTACGCCATGCTAAGAGTCCAAGACCATTATGATATCAGAGGTAACTCAACCGAACACCACCCTTTCTCTATAGCTAATTTGCATGCAACAATTTCATTGGTTGTATAAGGGAGACTGTACAGCTGGGGGCCCAATTGCCACTCATACAAACCAACATAAATCTGCCAGCACAACCCCTCTGAGGGATACACCATCACAACCAACCACACAGCAACACAATAACCCCAAACACATATAGTCCCTCATGGCAGCACACACTTCTTATCCACCACCCACACAAATCCATACAACTCTCCCAGCACAATACAACACAATTAGCACACACAACCCCAAACATCATTCTGAAGGCTAGAATGTCTGTTGAGTCAGTGTGAAGCAATGGAAACAGCAACAAGCATGCCTGAGCACTCTTTTTGTTCAGAATATCATCAGGTTCAATCATCACTGCAGTCTTCGGGCTGGTCCACACTAACCCCCCACTTCGAACTAAGATACGCAACTTCAGCTACGTTATTCACGTAGCTGAAGTCGAACTGTCTTAGTTCGAACTTACCGCGGGTCCACACGCGGCAGGCAGGCTCCCCCGTCGACTCCTCTCGCGGAGCAGGAGTACCGGCGTCGACGGCGAGCACTTCCGGGATCGATTTATCGCGTCTAGACAAGACGCGATAAATCGATCCCAGAAGATCGATTGCTTACTGCCGGACCCGGAGGTAAGTATAGACGTACCCTTCTACTGTCCAGTTTTTAAGTTGCCAGCTGTTTTCAGCTTTTTTATTACCTATGACATTAGGAATTACTCCGAGTGACAGTATTTCATTAAAAAAACCCCTACATATTTCTAGCCCTTACAGTTCTAAATGTCAAGAATGTTAGCCATACTGATGCTCATAATTTTAGCAGAAAAGCCCAACTACTATGGACTTGTAAGTGAGGGTTATGCTCTTGGCAAAACTTGGTTTGAGTAGAGTAGCACCATGTCCCCCTGTCCCCCACTCTGCCCCCTGACTGTTATTAGTACTCTTCTCACTCACGGTGAATTAAGGGAGAATGGATTCCTTGGGATTGGAATCATATGATTGCAGGGGAACCTGTCTCGGTCAAAAGCAGGACAGCAGATGGACCAGAGTTGTTCTGCCTATACTCTCTTGTATAAAAGAATAATCAAGAACTCAGGAATAGAAGAAAGACAAGACTTCATCCAGAGCAGGAACCTGACAGGAAGAGTCTAGTCTAGGAGAAAGAGGAACAGTTCACCAAGGTAGTCCAAAAAGTTTTGTTCTACTAAGGCCTTGGTTAGCTTTGATCAACCTCTGCCCTCACTATATTGGACAAACCTCTCCTCTCCTTGCTCAACTGAGCGGCTGTAAGAATATTTTCACTGTCTAATATCCTGTGGACCACAGATGACAGAACATGCGGTCCAGGGCATTTCTCAATAGGCACACAGGAAATAATAACTTGTTCCATTTCCTCTGTGGAAATCTAATCTATGAATTATAAAAAAATAGGGACCTTCTTCTGTTACTGCTAATCGAAGGTAAACTATATAAATCTTCGTCAAATAGCCTAAGGCTCTAACTTCTCTCTTGTGTTTCACTAAGGAGAGAGCTCTTCTGCTCAACCAAAATGGTAGAAGCAACACTAAAACTGCTGTAGGCTCCAATGAAAAAAGAACAAATTCCACCGTTCTTGCATATAACTGGTTCATTTTGAATAATCTTTGGATGGCCATTGGTTTTTGTCCTCACGCTGCCAAATTGCTCCAGGCTCAGGACCCCCATTTGTGAAAAGTCCACCAGGGAAATTATTGTTATG